ATGTTGATTACTATTTTAGTCCAGTTAGGTTCATTCTCTCATAGATGGAGAGCCCAATGTTCCAGGATTTACCAGTTGAAAATAATATCCTTTTGGCATATGTGACATGTTTTTCCTCTTTTACATTCAATGTGACATTATATCATTTTGTATACAAACTGAGGGGTAATTCGGTTGGCCATGGTTTTGGATACCATATATGAGCCTTCTTTGAGTAAGATGATGGCTTGATAGCATAATGATGAACCATGTATTCTTAGTTGTACGCATTGATGCCTTAATCTTTTGTTACTTTACCTACAGCAACAAGATAGAAGTTGCTTACCAGGAAGCTGTTGCTTTGAAGAGGCAAGAAGAGCTAATCCGTGAAGAAGAAGCTGCATGGCTGGCTGAAAGCGGACAGAAGGGTAAACGTGGAGCATTAGAGAAGGAGAAGAAATCAAAGAAAAAACAGGTGTGATGTTGATCTATTCATACATGTGTCTTTCAGAACTAAGATCTAAATAAGAACCATGGTTGGTTGGGCTAGATGGGCAGGATGATAACAAACAAAAGATGTTTTATATTTTCACTAATCTAATTTTTCGATGTTATTGAAACTTTGAATCCCTGTAATCAACTTTTGTAAAAATTTTATGATAGATTTTAATTTCATTTAAAAGAATAAGAGAATGGGGTTAAGGTTGTGAAACATATACCTTTCTCACTGATTGCTGGACATTTGCCCTTGCATGTATGATACAGGCCAAACAAAAACGGAATAATCGTAAGGGCAAGGAAAAAGGGAGGGAGGAGACGGCCAGTGTGGCAATAAATGATAAGCATGGAGAAGAAAACCTAGTTGATGAAAAGGAATCGGGAATTGATGAGATGCATCATTTGCCTGAAAAGTCTGATGTCATGGAAGACGATTCTGATGTCTCAGATTCAGTGGATGGTGTTCCTGAAGTACTTCAGCCTGACTCTGAAGACAGAGATGCCAGTCCTGTTAATTGGGATACTGACACATCTGAAGTTCATCCTCCCACAGAAGCCAGTAGTAGTGGAGTAAGTGTACAAAATGGTGTAGCTGATAAAAGGAGCCCATCTGTGGGTGATGATAGTTCCTCAACATGTTCTACAGACTCAGTGCCATCGGTGGTAATGAATGGAACTTATAGGGGAAACTTTTATAACAATCAGAATCAAGAATCACCTAGCAGGTAAATTTTTATCATTCTTTTTAGTGCATCTGGATTGAGAAGACAAGGCTTTTATTTAATTTATCTCTTCAAATTTGTAGAGGGAAGAACCAGTCTGGCAGAGCAACATTTGATGGAAATGGAAGTAGTTGGACTAGTGAAATTGATAATAGGCCTTCTGGGCCTGTTCAGGGGGCAGGGGATCTTAATGATGCATCCGAAAGTAGTAAGGCTGGTGAGTCTGATTCTGAGGCTGTTGTTTCTTCATTGCAGGGTCAGACAAAGTGGCTAGACCAGGGTGTGGTTAAGAAGGTGGGTTAGCTGTATCTCTTCTTTCTGTGTCATTTTGCTTTCCAATCTTGTTAGCATGGCATCATACTTCTTTTTTTTTTTTTTTTTGGCCATTGTTTCATATTTTCTTCTCTCTATCTCTAGTTTACAGATTAATTGCTTTTTCGTTTTTAGTTTGCTTTTGTTTGCCATTCATTTTCCAAAAATATTTTTCACTTGTTGCTTATATGCTTTCTTTTTTTTTTTCCTCTCCTCCTTTTTGGTGGGCTAGATGACTTTATGTAAAAGACTGATTTTCTTCTAAACTAGAATTGCAATTTCACCCAGTGAAACTAGTGTTTAAAAGTCAATTTGCAAAGTTTTGCAGCTCACATTCTGACATTCTATTTTAAAGGTAAAATTTGAAGCTTTGCCAATACATCTGAAAGTTTACTACACATGGATATTTTGGTTTTGTCAGTTTTTTTTGTAATACTCTGGAGTCAGGAGCTTTCTGTTACTTAATACAGCTGCTTTAATGGCATGGTTTTAGTTTGTGGAGAAATGAATGTGCACAATTGCAAACATGTTTTCTTGTAGAAAGTTTCTGTTTCAATATGGGAATTTATTTAATTAATTTTCTTTTTATGTAATAGGAAGGAGTTGGTTCTCAAAAGAAACAGATTCATAGAGACCAAGTTGATATGGAAAGACCTAAAGAGAAGACAACAGCTATACCTTCATCCCCCAGAAGCCCGCCAAGGAGTCCATTGCCTACTGTTCCTCTCAAGGCAGAGCATAAGAGTGCTGCCACTGTGACTCCTGTGCCAGTTAGGAAGGCATCTTCAAATGGCTCACAACATACCGATCAAGCTGTACCTCCTAGTGCTAGTAGTACTTCATCTCAAATGATGGGAATGCCAAAATATGAGACTCAGAAGGCTGCAAATCCAAAGCCAACTGAAAATCCTCTGACATCCTCATTGCATGTCATGTCAAGGTCCTCTAGTGTTCCTCTGGTACCTGGTCCTAAGGCTACAATTCCTGCTGTTTCTATAGTTCAAACCACTCCATTACTTGCTCGTTCAATCAGTGCAGCTGGACGGCTAGATCCTGATCCCTCACCTGCTACCCATAGTTATGTTCCTCAGTCATATAGAAATGTGATAATTGGAAACCATGTTGGTTCTGGTTCAGCTGGTTTTGCTCACCCTAACTCCTCAAGTTCAGGAGTAAATCCATCACCAGCATACTCACAGCCATCTCCCATTGTCTCTGCAACAGTATTTTTGTCCCAGAGCTCTGAGAGGATAGACCAGAATTCTGTCCAATCAAGCTTTCCCTATGGCATGGTGAAACGGGATGCCTTGCAGAATGGACCTCAATGGATGGATGGTTCTCGAGGCAGCAGAAGTATGCACTGTGATCCTTCTCCGTTGCTCAGTGGCATTCAAAACCTTGACTTATGCCAGCCTGTGCAGAGCAGTTCCCGAGAGCTGATATCCAGTGAGTTTCCAGCATGTAAATCCCAATGTCAGACCCAGGGCGGTGCCATGGCAGATGAGTTCCCACACCTTGATATCATCAACTACTTGCTTGATGAGGAACATAGAATCGAGAAAGTGGGTAAGGAAGGATCAGTCTTGCACCCTCTTGGCAACGGCTCACATCCTTTGAATCGTCACTCATCTTTTCCATCAGAAATGAGCATATCAGGTGAGATGGGTCCATTAAGTGCCTCATGCAGGTTCGAGAGGGCACGGAGTTTCCATGGCGATGGTTTTCAACGGGGTTATGGCTCTCTGAGTCATTATGATATGCACACAGAGTTCTTTCCCCAAGCTAGTCCACTACCTTATGCAAACGGCCAAATTGATGGATTGATCCCAGCACATTGGCAAATGCCTGGCTCTGATCTGTCACTACTCGGCATGAGGAGCTCAGAAAGCGACAGTTACCCTTATCTTGGCACAGATTACTCAAATTTGGCATGCGGTGTCAATGGCTATACATTATTTCGACCATCAAATGGACACTGACGGAGTTTGCCCACAAAGCAGAGGAATGCTTTATCCGTTGTAATAATATGTTGGAGGAATTGGAGCAATGTGTTGGCTCTTAGATTTGGGGTGAGTTTGTAATCTTTTCCAAAAGAAAACATTTTGTAAAAAGTGTTTCTTCAGCCTTTGCATTTTGTATCAGAAATGCGACCCTTTTTTTTTTCCTCCTTTTTAAGTAATCAAAGTTGGATAATTCAAAACTCTCGAAACTCATGGGAAAGGAAAAATGAACGTTTTTCTGGCCACCATTACAATGGAAAAAATGAAATGGAGTCCTTTGATTTTCTGTTACATTTTACCCAGATAGGCATAAAGCAACACCAAGCAGCCAAACGGCGGGAT